TTTCCAACAATCATTTAAGATAACTTCTTATCTTATACAGTATTTTAGACTTCTGTCAACAACTTCTGAACATTTTCCGTTCTTTATCACTTGTTCTGCATTTCTTAATTTCTCTATTACTCTTAATTATCCTTAACTAATAATTCTCATCGGATGGGACGCGGGTGGCACTGTGGGTAAAAGCCTCAGCGCCTAGGGCTTGCCGAGCGAAAGGTCGGCGGTTCGAATCCCTGCGGTGGGGTGCGCTCCCGTTGTTCGGTCCCAGCGCCTGCCAACCTAGCAGTTCGAAAGCACCCCCGGGTGCAAGTAGATAAATAGGGACCGCTTACTAGCGGGAAGGTAAACGGCGTTCCGTGTGCTGCTCTGGCTCGCCAGTGATGTCACGCTGGCCACGTGACCCAGAAGTGTCTCCGGACAGCGCTGGCCCCCGACCTCTTGAGTGAGATGGGCGCACAACCCTAGAGTCTGTCAAGACTGGCCCATACGGGCAGGGGTACCTTTACCTTTACTAATAATTCTCATCATAGTCTTTCTTGCAATATTTCAAATAGTCCTCCTTAAAGAACGTCTTGCAGTCCTACTAGCATAATCTGATTATTACAATTGCTTTTCAAATAGTTCAAATATTTACTCCAGTCTTCTAAGAATCTCTGATCCCACAGATTTCAAATCCTTCCTGTTAATTTATCTAATTCTGCATAGTCCACTTTCCACATCCTTCTTGCCAGCTTTCCAGTAGCATTTTTTTTTTTGTCTATCCATCTCAGCAATTCTAATGAATTAAAGCTAACCCCTCGCCCTGTTCGCTGCTTCTGTTACAATTGCGGCCCATGCATTTAGAAGAAGTTTCGGTCACGATGCCACCACCTGAAATTAGATCCGCATTTTGGGAATGAGAAACAGGATCTGGGTGTCTCCTCAGCAGAGCTGCTGCTCACATAACCCTTTCAGAGCTGGTTTCTGCTCCAGTTGTAATTGCTCTTGGCACCAGTGCTATTTTCTTCTCCAGAGTGGCTGCCAGCTGGAGAGAGTCCCAGTCAAGGAGCCAGGATCAGGCTCCCTCCTTAGCAAACTTTGATCCGTATCAAAAAAACCAACAACCCTAACTTTGATCCATACCCACAGTCATAACTCCAGCAGGAATGCAGTCAGGCTGCTAGGGGTTAGTTGAGGTGACGGGAGTTTCTCTGTCTCTGTCTCTCCCACGTCCACACAGCAGAGGTGAAGCTTGGGTGATAAAGTGAATGTGTGTCTGTGACAAAGAAGTTTGTGCAGTTTGGACTCAGAACCTGCTTGCTATCCTTCCTGCTGCTAAGCAAATCAGTCCCTTAAGCCAAGAAATTGTATTCTCTATGAAATTGAATATCAATATACGTATCAAGGCTTTGAGATTAGACCACTGAAGAAGCCCGGAAAACCACCTTGGGAGTGTGCTACCTGCAAGCCCCAGTAAAAGGGCCCCATCGGGGGCGAACAGCGGCCTCTTGATTACTTGGACTGCCAGGGCGAAACAGGTGCAAAACGCCGGCACCCTGTCTACAACTTCATTAACATCCATCTACAACTTCACTAGCATCTCTAAATATTGTGAACAACACCGGACTTACCTTTTGTTGGTATCACTTTGAGAAGCCAAGTTACAGGGAACCAGGCAGAGGGCCTTCTTTGCACAAGGTTTTGTATTTTTCTCAGAAGATTGATAAAGAATGTGTAATTATTTTGGTAATGATTGTGTTTATATTAGTCGCCAATGCGTTGCAGAAGTCGTACTACATCCTTCCTGCTCCAGGTTGGCCACTGTGAGAACAGGATGCTTCCTTATAAGGCAATCGTTCTCCTGATCCTGCAGGTTCTCCTTAGGACTCCAGCCCTGGCACTGACTACGTCTCTGGGTAGGACAAGTGAAAACCCAGTATAAAATGTGCCGTGGGTCACCTCAGCTGCTTTTACTGTTGGGTATTGATTTGGTAGGGGACGCTGTTGGTGCTGTGGGTTAAACCATAGAGCCTAGGACTTGCCGATCAGAAGGTTGGCGGTTCAAATCCCCACAGCGGGTTGAGCTCCCGCTGCTAGGTCCCTGCTCCTGCCAACCTAGCAGTTCGAAAGCATGTCAAAGTGCAAGTAGATAAATAGGAATCGCTCCAGCAGGAAGGTAAACGGCGTTTCCGTGCACTGCTCTGGTTCGCCAGAAGCGGCTTAGTCCTGCTGGCCACATGACCCGGAAGCTGTATGCCGGCTCCCTCGGCCTATTGAGTGAGATGAGCACCGCAACCCCAGAGTCGGCCACAACTGGACCTAATGGTCAGGGGTCCCTTTACCTTTATTGATTTGCAAATGTTCCTGGCCTTCCAAGATCCACCTGCTTCTAAAATGACTGCCAGCATTCTGACTTGGAGGTTGCTGGAGGCAGCAGCTGGCTGTGTTCCTAAGATGTGGAGCGAGTGGAAAAAAGAAGCCCTAGCAACCAGCAACACGGAAATTTTCATCCTGTGCTAAATCCTCTGCAGAACCAACTTGTTAGAATTTGCAAACATACCCCCCCCCCAGCTCACCTTAGATGGCTTTTGTTGCTTGGAAGAAGGTGTGAGGGTTGAGGAGGTACTTGGCAGTAAGTACCAGTTAGCTCAGCCAGCCAGGGCATTGCTGGAAAGACCTTGACTCTTTGCTTCTCTTGTTTTTTTCGAGATTGGAAAAGGCTAATCTGCTGCCTTGGGCTACACCTCCCATCAGCCACAGCCGGGCCAGAGGCACCCTGTGTAAACTCCTTTGGAAGGCTTATGCCCAGGCCCAGACAGAGGGGGGTCACATGGGCCACTTGGCCTGAGCCTCCGATTCCAAAGGGGACCTTGGTCAGCATATTCACAATCGCAGGGGATGCACTGGGGCAGAGGCGCAAAGGCGGTGGCGGCGGTGGGCAGAGGAGCGCGGAGCGGGCGCCGGGTGGGATGAGTTTCAATATATTAAATTAAGTGTTTCTTTCAATCAACAATGGCTCAAGAAATCCTAAATGGTTTAGCAATAATAAACATAAACCACGATAAGGCGAAGTTGCTTGATTTTTCCTGCGTAATTCAAAAATTCGCAGAAAAGAAAGCTAGGAAGGCATTTTTAAATGCAAATACTTAAAATAATCCTTTTCCCTGTGTATTTTTTAAAAGCACTATGGTATATCTATATTTTCCATTTTGTCTTTATATGCAGATACGGTTCAAGCCTTGAAATAAAATTATTTGTCAGCATATCTTTTGTGAAAATTATGTATATACTTATTTATAAGACTTCAGTTATCCAAAGGGGGGGGGGCACATTATTTACCTGGCCCCGGCCTCTGCCGGGCTCTGCGAGGCCCTGCTTATGCCATAACAAATAAGCCAGCCCAGGGATGTCTTAGCCCAAGGGGGCCGTTATTCCCATCAGGGCCACATGCCTGTGGTGGGTTGGGGCCAGAGGTAAAAGTGGGGGGGGGGGAGCCAATATAAATTTTATCTTTGCTGCTAGCAACAATCGCTTTGCTCTGCTTCCACAGCTGGAGGCAGTAAGTCGTCTGCATCCCAGTTGCTGGAAACTTCAGGAGGGGAGAGGGCTCTCGAACTCAAGTCCTGCTTGTGGGCTTCCTATTGGGGCTTCTGGGTGGCCGCTGTGAGAATGCTGGACTAGAGGGGCCGTTGGCCTGATCCAGCAGGCTTTTCTTGTCTGTTCAGTAGGCCGATTTTTGCATGCTCACACGCCCCCCCCTTTTAACCAGACAAGCAAAATGCATTACAGTGGTACCTCAAGTTACAAATGCCTCAGGTTACAAACTCCACCAACCTGGAAGAGTTGCCTCGAGTTGAGAACTTTGCCCCAGGATGAGAATGGAAATCGTGTACCAGCGGCGCAGCAGCAACAAGAGGTCCCATTAGCGAAAGCATGCCTCTAGTTAAGAACAGTTTCAGGTTAAGAACAGACCTCCGGAACAAATTAAGTTCATAACTAGAGGTACCACTGTATTGGGGTTCAAAGACAACATTCCAGTCAGGTCAAGGAAAAAACGGTGTGTGGAGAAGCAAGGAAGGCCAGTGATGGGTGTGGTCTGCAGAGAGTTTGAGGGCCAGGCAGAGAGGTGCAGGGGCCATATTTGTTCTCTGGGAGCCTGAGGTTCCCCACCCCAAGTTAGCCTTTTGGGTGCCGCAAAGTTCCTTGCCGGTTTTGTGGCTGTGTGATTCCTTCCTTCCTTCCTTCCTCCCTCCCTCCCCTTCCTTTTTTATTAAAAATGCCGTAAAATGGCTACATACAAATTCAATAAAACCAAGAATACAGCACAAAGTGATACATAGTTTAGCAATTTCAGTTCCAGAGCCACAATGTGTTGATTAAAACCTGAGAAAATAAAACAGTTTTCTGACCACCTGCCTATATTATATGAAGCAGGTGCCAGGCAAATGTCGTTTTACATGGTCTTAAAACAGTCCGTATAGGTTCTCCACGGTTGGGTTTGTCAGGAGGAGAACTTTCCTTTTCTCTTAAGTATGAAAAGAAGGGAGACACTGTGCGGTTCCTACGCATAACAAAAGTACCTTTTTGGTGATGTTGTCTTTACTGTAAAAAGGAGGAGAGGCCCTAATTTTGATTCCTTTTGAGGGGGTCAGCAGGGAATTTATGGCTCTGCTCTCGGAACTGAAAACGTTTTGCAAAAGAGAGCACCGTGCACAACAGCCCTTGTTCAAACAACGGAGCATTCAAACTAGACAATCAAAGGGAGCGTTTATGCTTGACAAACAGAAGGGTTTCTGTAGAGGGCTGGATCTCCACTGCCCATTGGAGCAGCGGGCAGAGAACCCTGCCCCTCCGATTGGAGGGAATGCCAGGGCCGGCCTCTGATTGGCAAGCCAGGTCTGGCATCCGCAGGTCTGGGCTGGGCTCTGCTCTGGTTGGAGCAGGAGGGCGCCTTTGAATGCACACCTTAGTTGGCTTTGTATGTGCAGTTACTGAGAGCCCAAGCGGCGTCTGTTTGCATAGCTGTAGAGTGGAGGCTCAGAGGCTGCTGTTGTTCTTGGCGGGAGTCCATTTTGGAGAGTGGCTGTGCACTTGATCCAAGCAAGGTCAGCGAGCCTGAGAGTCTCACTGGGTGTGCACGTGGACAGCCGCAGGAAATAACCTGGAGCGCAGCAAAAAGCCTGTCCAGCTGCAGTGGACAATTGCATGGAAGGATCACTCCACCAGGCAAGTGTTGCGATGGGTCTTGCAGGTTTGGGCTGTTGTCCCTTCTCCCCGCCTCGCTGCTTGCCCAGCCCTGATCTCCTCCTTGGAAATATCCTTTATTGTAAATGACCTCCTGCTCCAACTCCCTTTGCTCAGAGTGGGAGCCTGAAAAAGTCTCACCTGGAAAAGGCAAGTGATGTCTTAACCCTTGTTCCCTTGCAGAACCCCTAAATGTTTAGTGTGTGATTTGTGGCAGCCATGGAAAGAGAAGAGTCTTAGTTCGGTGGTGGAGGAAATCTTGCTTCAGATCCCCAGTGGCATCTCCTGGTAGGGCTGGAAATCTTCCGTGCCTGAAGCCCTGGAGAGCTGCTGCCAGCCAGTGTTGACAGTCCTGGGACTGATGGGCTGAGTCAGCCTAGGGCACCTTGCTATGGGGGTCCTGGTCTCGGGGACTCCTTGGCTGTTGCGTGTGGGGAAAACGAGGCAAAGTGGCTCTGCAATGTATGTTTTTATTAGAAGTAAGGTTGTCAGCAACTATATCTGACTCAGAGTAGACCCACTGAACTTGGCCATGTCCGTTAATGTCAACGGATCTGCGCAGCTCATAACGTTTGTCTAGTTAACAGCTGAACAACTTCCCCTGAGGAAAGGATCGCGTATGGAATTACTCATTTAATAACAATTGCACCTTATCAACCTTGCATCTTATCTGCTGTAAATATGTGCCCTATTTTTCTTTCTTTCCTGGATGTGTGTGAGATAGTTAATTGCAATTAAACCTGTTAATTAGGCATGTGTTTGTGTAGCTCTTGGATGTGGATTCTCCTCTCAGCTGAGCAATTACTAGGCATTTTCATGCCACTCGTCAGTCAAAAAAGGCTTACAAATGTCGCTGAGAACACAATCCCCACCCTGGCAATCTAAGGTCACATCCAAACCAGACATGATTTAAATCCCATTTCCCTCCCCCAAAGGATCCTGGGAACTGCACTTTGTTTAAGGGTGCTGAGAACTGTGAGGGGTGAACTACAGTTTCCAGGATCCTTTGAAGGAAGCAACATGCTTTTAAATATATGGGTGTGGGTGTGGCCTATGAGACATGACACAAAAGGAAAGGGGAGTGGGAGGGAAGAGGAGGTGAAAGCGGGTCCAGGCTCTAATTCTTAGTTATAGTCAGTGCTTTTTCGAGGGGGGAGGTATTCAAGGGTACGCAGTACCGACACCTTTTCCCCCTAGCCTAGAAGAAAAGCACTGGTTACTTGCCGGAGCCAGAATGTCAATGGTTGCAGTGAATAAAAAATCAGAGGGAGAGGAGCATAAAATTGCTGGTCTTTTTAGCCATATTAATAGAGCAACCCTCCTGTTCCAACTCTCTTCCTTTGCCTGATGGAATGGCTGCTGAGCTGACTGCTGTTGTTGTCCCTGACCATTGGCCGTGCTGGCTGGAGTGGATGGGAGTTGTTGACAAAAACGGGTAAAAAAGTCCAGTTAAGTCCAGTCAAAGGTGACTATGGGGTTGCGGCACTCATCTTGCTTTTCAGGCCGAGGGTGCCGGCATTTGCATGGCGAGTTCCCACCAGTAGAAATAAAGACACATGACACCATTAGTTTAGGTAAATGGGCTAAAATTGGCCACAACTTTATTGGTTACAGGTAAAGAGCAGTATTGGCTTAGGCATTGGTCCTATCCGGCTTCAGCCTGTTTGCTTGAAGACCGGGAAGGGTTAACACCAGCAGGGGGAGCCCTGCTGATGCACATAGGCTTCGGACGAGGACACGCCCCCCAGAATCCTTTACCGGACTACCCTTCAATATTTGGGGGAGGTGATGGCGCTCCCCCCCCAACACATCTACATAACAATACCCCTACCAATGCCTAACCACCAAAACCGAAGGAGTTGCTACGAGGTAGGCGGAAAACCAAATGGCCTGTGCCAATTTGCCAAGTGGAAAAAATTCCTACCAGGCCCCTTGAGGGTGACCAACCGAGGTCCATAGCAAGGTCAGAAGGGGAACCTTAAAGGGCGGGCGGGTGGGAAAACCTCAACAGCTGAGCAGAACCAAAGAGGGAGATCCCGGGGCTGCGCTTGCCTTAAATGAGCCGATTGGCTGGCTCAGGGGATGACGCGGCCCGAGGATTCCCCTGATCGCGCGGGGGCTCGCATGTGTTGGGGGCGTGAACCCCACAACACCACCACCTCCCGAAGTGGCTTTGTCCACAGACAGCTTTCCAGATCATGTGGCCAGCATGACTAAACTGCTTCTGGCGCAACGGCACGCCGTGACTGAAACCAGAGCAAACAGAAATGCCGTTTACCTTCCTGCCACAGTGGTACCTATTTATCTACTTGCACTGGTGTGCTTTCGAATTGCTAGGTTGGCAGGAGCAGGGACCGAGCAACAGGAGCTCACCCTGCCACGGGGATTCGAATCACCAACCTTGTTGATAAGCAGCTTCCAGTGGGGGCACCTCAGGCTAGCATATGTGGCCTCCTGCTTGCTTAACCTTTCTCCCCACTTCCTGTTTCCCCCAGGTCTCTCGCCATGGTGAACGAGTCTTTCGGCGCCGGCAACGGGGTGGCCGTCCTCGGCAACGGGGCGGCTGTCGTGAGGTCTGACGGCAGCAGTGGCAGCGACAGCTCCAAGGACAGCTCGCGATGCTCCACCCCTGTCCTCGACAGCGAGCGGCACGACCGCCTGTGGGAGAAGATGCGGAGGCGGCAGGAGTCCGGGGACAAGTGGTTCTCCCTGGAGTTCTTTCCTCCGAGGACGTCCAACGGGGCCGTCAACCTGATTTCCAGGTGAGGGGGATGCTCCCGGGCAGGCTGTTGAAATCCGAGCGTTGTGTAGAAGCCGCCAGTGGGAGAGGGATGGCGGGAGCGTGGGGTTCAACTATGGAACTCGCTAGAAACACCATAACCAGACACTGGAGAGACCTGTCAGGAGTAAGCATGGACCAGTGGTACCAAATAGTATGGGAAACAGCCCTACTAGAAAAATTAACCAATAAACTGACACGGGGACAAACAGAAGAAGACGCCTTCACCCCGGTGTGGCTCCCCTTTATCACATACACAGCCCAACAAGACAAAGACAATAATCCACCAACAGCATACAGTGTGGCTAACCTGATCCAAAACACCCACCCACGCCACTCACACACAAAAACAAAGATCACCACAGCCAATCACAAACAAACAACCACAACCTAGGCCAACCCCAACCTCTCTCACCACCAAAGGAACACAAGTGAACAGCACGAGCAACGCTCACACCAAACCCTACATACATTAAGCAAAATAGAAACATCGCCACCCCCCCATCTTCCCCCTCCCCCCCCCAATATCTCAACAAATGAAACTGATTTGTAAAAATGTTACATGGAAAAAATACGAGAGACATTACACATACTTCTATAAAACAAGAAAATCTTTAATAATAATAATAAAAGCTTAGGTTTTTTTAAAAAAACAAAAAACCAACAACTATGGAACTCGCTGCCACAAGAATGTATGGTCGCCTTGTGAGAGCTTAAGAATCAGACCTGTTGGCCCATCTAGTGCAGCATCCTCATCTCAATGGGAAGCCCAGAAGCAGGACCTGAGCTCAGCAGCAACTCAGCTCACCACATGTGGTCTCCAGCAGCTGGTAGGGTGGCACTGTGCTCTAAACCACCGAGCCTATTGGGCTTGCCGATTGGAAGGTCGGCGGTTCGAATCCCCGTGACGGAGCGAGCTCCCATTGCTCTGTCCCAGCTCCTGCCAACCTAGCAGTTCGAAAGCATACCAGTATGAGTAGATATTTTTTCTTTTTTTTGGAAAGAGTTGCAAGCTTGGTGGATCGTGGGATGCTGTGTGCTGTAGTGTATCTTGATTTCAGTAAGGCTTTTGACAAAGCAAATCACCGTGACAAGGTGAGCTCCTATTGCTCTGTCTCAGCTCCTGCCAAACCAGCAGTTCGAAAACACGCCAGTGCAAGTAGATACCGTATTTTTCACTCCGTATTTTTCATTCCATAAGACACACTTTTTTCCTCCTTAAAAGTAAGGCGAAATGTCTGTGCGTCTTATGGAGCAAATGCGTGGTCCCTGGAGCCGAATTGCCCAGGGGCGAAAAGCAGATCATGCTTTTTCTTTTTCTTTTTTGAAAGAGGGAAGTAGGTGTTGAAACAAAGCCACTAATCTGCAAGCAATAGGGGAGGGAGATAAGGGAGGTTAGCGATAAAGGAGGCTGCCTGGGAAGTAAAAGCCCATGTATCCTCAGGATTTTTGCATTGGGTCACCCCAAATTCACCATCAGATCACATAGCATGTCCATGGCTACAGCCTGACCAAAAAAACCACGCATCCACTGTTTCGTGGGGCCGCAATGGCGCAAAAATGTGGTTACAAAGCACGGATCCACATGGATTCGCAGGATTTTTGCAGTGGGCTACCCCAAACTCACCGTCACTGTCTGTGGCCACAGCGTGAACCACAAAAATCATACATCCACTGTTTTGTTCAGAATATTTTTTTTCTTGTTTTCCTCCTCTAAAAACTAGGTGCGCCTTATTGTCAGGTGCGTCTTATGGGGTGAAAAATATGGTAAATAGGTACTGCTACTAGCTACCACTAATACGTAGTAGAAAAGCCTCGGGCATTCCCCTAACCTTTAAACATTTTTTTCGACTCATTGTAAATCATTCCCCGGAATGCTTTTGTTATCTTGCACGTCCACCACAAACTTTTTTATTTGTTTCTGTTGGGTGGCAATCTGCAGGCTTGACCACATGGGTGCGGGCGGTCCACTCTTCATTGACGTGACCTGGCACCCGGCTGGCGACCCAGGCTCCGACAAGGAAACCTCCTCCATGATGATGGCAAGCACAGCGCTCAACTACTGTGGCCTGGACACCGTCCTTCACATGACCTGCTGCAACCAAACCAAGGAGATGATCACGGCGCACTTGCAGAAGGCCAAGCGGCTAGGTCTCAAGAACATCATGGCGCTGCGTGGAGGTGAGTTGCCTCTGGGCCCGCTTGTAGTAAATCGAGAAAAGATGGTAGCTAGATAATCGAGCAGCTGCTGTTCCCTCGGGCCTGAGAGAGATGGGGTTGTGGGGCCTCTCCATTGGCTCTCTTCGACCTCTTTTCTGCTGGTCATTCCACAAGTGAGGAGGAGTGCCCGCATTTTCTGTTTTTCCTCTTCCCTCCTCATCCATCTTCCTTTTGTGTCGAGTCTGTTTTAGACATAACAAAGAACAAGTGCTCGCTTTGACTTTCCGCCCTCCTCCATCCCCATCTTGCTTTCATCTTTGGTTCAGATTGTAATAATTATTTTAACGGAGAACGAATTTGTTCCCCTCCTCCCAGTTCCTCTTTGTGTTGCGTCTCTCTTTAGTTTGTAAATCTGGGAGCAGCCTTATTGTTGGATCTGCTTATTCTGCTCTGGGAGCCTAATTTGCTTTATTTGTTTTGGCCGAAGGAAGAGGTAGTGATAACAGGACTAAAATCAGGCCCGTCAGGAGCAGACATGGATTTCCATCTGGGATGGAAGTTTTCTATCCACTGAGCCTCTGCTGTCTGTCGGAGGGACCAGAAAAGCAGTAGGCAGAAGTTCCTGCTTTGTTGATCCATATCAGGGGTAGGCAAACTAAGGCCCGGGGGCCGGATCTGGCCCAATCGCCTTCCCAATCCGGCCCGCCGATGGTCCGGGAATCAGCGTGTTTTTACATGAGTAGAATGTGTCCTTTTATTTAACATGCATCTCTGGGTTATTTGTGGGGCATAGGGATTTGTTCATTATTTTTTTTTCAAAATGTAGTCCAGCCCCCCACATGGTCTGAGGGACAGTGGACCTGCCCACGGCTGAAAAAGGTTGCTGACCCCTGATCCCCATGGAAGGAGGAGGCCTAGTTTTTAATTCACATCCATGCTCATTGGATGTCTTGTCCAGGGCTTATTTAACCATTAAGGAAAATACATATGTGCTTAGAGCATCAAGGAGCAGGGGGCATCACAGAAAATTTTCATTGTCAGATTTACCATGGACCATATGGTGCAGCTGAACCAAAATGAGCTGAGCGTTCATTTTCTCAGTTGAAGTATATTAAAAATCCCAGCTGAGCAACTATGTAATGAGGCAGGCTGGACGCCTTATCTCTACTAAGTACAGAAGCAGGTGTATTACGTAAGATTAATTTTGAGGACCTGATCAAAGACTTTGCAAAAGCAGGAGAAAATTCTTTTCATCTCTAAATAAAGTGGAAGTATACGAAAATGAACATAATTTTCCATCTTATGGTAGGTTTCCTTTCATTTCGAAAAATAAAATTTTGTTTTATGGTTTATTGTTTGTATTTTGAATTGGCTATACCGTATTGGCCTGAATATAAGCCTCACTTTTCTTTTCTTTTCTTTTCTTTTCTTTTCTTTTCTTTTCTTTTCTTTTCTTTTCTTTTCTTTTTTTGCAAATTCCAACCGTGAAAAGTTAAAGTGTGGTTTAACTTTGCAACCTTACAAAAATTGGCTTTTACAATATTGCTGCTGAAATAGACATATGGTAAAACGGAACAGGTGTGAGTGCCTGCGGAATTTTAAAGGTGCAGCTTATATTCGGGTGCAGCTTATATCCGGGCCAATACGGGGACGGGGTGTGTGTGTGTGTGTGTGTGTGTGTGTGTGTGTATATATATATGGGGGACACACCCCCAAACCTTATAAGTGCTTAGGGCTTCTAAAGGGTTTAATCCGGCTGTGGATCTTGTCCAGGAGAGAGAGAGAGAGAGAGAGAGAGAGAGATAGCATGAATGAAGTAAAAGAGATTATTGTGGACTTTAGGAAATGTAAATTGAATATTCAGCTACTTATTATTGAGGGGAAGTGCATGGAACAGGTCTCGGTGTTTCAGCAAAGACCTGAGGAAGAGAGCACAGCAGAGGTTATATTTTCTGAGAATCCTCCAGAAAAGCAATCTCTCAAAGGACCTGTTGATGGCATTTTACCATTGTACTGTGGAGAGTGTATTAACTTATGGTCTGTGTGTGTGGTTTGGGAGCTGCACGGTCAGGCGAAAAACAATGCTGTCCAGGGTTGTAAAGACTGCGGGGAGAATAACTGGGTGCACTCTTCCCACCTTGGATCAATCTATTCTTCCAGGTGCATAAGAAAGCTGCAGAGATAGCGCAGGATAGTGTGCACCCTGGAAATGATCTCTTTCAGCTTCTGCCTTCTGGAAGAAGGTATAGGTTTATAAAGACCAGGACTAGCCGCCTGAGAAACAGTTTCTACGCAAATGCAATTCTGGTTCTAAACGCAGCATAAGGAGTCTCTATAGTATATTGTACTTTAAAATGGGGTTTCAGAGTTTTTAGGGGTTTTTCAATGTCTTATGTAGATTTTTCAATTTCATTGTTCGGTATGGGACAATGACAATAAAGATAACGTATCGTATCGTAAAAGCTGGTACTGTAGGGAGTGTGTGTATTTACAAAAGTGTTGACCTGGCACTTCCTGTCTCTCCCCACAGACCCCATTGGGGAAGAGTGGCAAGAGGAGGTCGAGGGTTTCAACTACGCCGTTGACTTGGTGAAGCACATCCGCTCTGAGTTCGAGGATTACTTTGACATCTGTGTGGCAGGTAAGAGAGAGAGAGACTGGCAGTGTCTGTGCACACATAGCAATAATAGTAAGAATAATCTTTATTTATACCCCGCCCTCCCCAGCCAAGGCCTGGCTCAGGGCGGCGAACAAGCCATAATAAAAACAAGTTGAATGAATACAACTTAAAAACAAGATTAAAATACAACAATTAAAATACTGAAATATTAAAATGCAGCCTCATCACAGGAGGAGAAAGGAAAAAGAAAAAGAGGGGGAGGGAATCAAATTGGCTCCAAGCCAAAGGCCAGGCGGAACAACTCTGTCTTACAGGCCCTGCGGAAAGAAATCAGATCCTGCAGGGCCCTGGTCTCATGAGACAGAGCGTTCCACCAGGCGGGAGCCAGTGTTGAGAAGGCCCTGGCTCTGGTTGAGGCTAATCTAACTTCCTTAGGGCCTGGGACCTCTAGGGTGTTGCTATATATGGACCTTGAGGCTCTCCGTGGGGCATACCAGGAGAGGCGGTCCCATAGGTACGAGGGTCCTAGGCTGTGAAGGGCTTTAAAGGTCAAAATTAGCACCTTAAATCTGACCCTGTACTCCACCGGGAGCCAGTGCAGCTGGAAAAGCACTGGGTGAATATGCTCCCATGGCAGAGACCCCGTGAGGAGCCTCGCTGCAGCATTCTGCACCCGGAGTTCTGGGACAGCTTCAAGGGCAGCCCCACATAGAGCAAATTACAGTAGTCAAGCCTGGAGGTGACCATTGCATGGAACATGCCAGTTCTGAAAGGATTACTAAAGGAATGTGAGAATCTGAGCTGGATAGAGATCCGCTCTGTGAACCGACTTTAACTCTGGTCTGGGTACAGAAGAAAAGCCTGCTGGATAAGGCCAGTGGCCCAACGAGTCCTGTTCTCGGGTCCCTGTGGGAAAACGGCAAAGCAGAATTCGAACACAAGAGCAACAGTATTTGCCTTTCATTCACGAGCCACACTTTTGCACAGTTGGGTATCATCCGAATAATTTGTAACCTTTGGTAAAAACAAAACAAACAACCTGCACCCCTGAATTCCCCTGTCTTTCTCGTTGGCCCTGCAGGTTACCCCAAGGGACACCCGGAAGCAGAGAGTTACGAGGAAGACTTGAGGCACCTGAAGGAGAAAGTGTCCGCAGGAGCCGACTTCGTCATAACGCAGCTGTTCTTTAGGTCGGAGACCTTCCTCAAGTTCTTGAAGGACTGCCAGGCTATTGGCATCACCTGCCCTGTCGTGCCCGGGATATTCCCCATACAGGTGAGTTGTGTTTGGGTGCTTCTTATGGGATTCTCCCACCAGGGCATCTAGTTGGCCCCTCTGACAACAGGATTCTGGACTAGATGGGCCAGTGGCCTGATTCAGCAGGGCTCTTATGTTTTAGTTATATATATATATATATATATATACACACACACACCGTATTTTTCGCACCATAGGACGCACTTTTTCCCTCCTAAAAAGCAAGGGAAAATGTGTGTGCGTCCTATGGAGCGAATGCAGGGGGGGAGGCAGGCGGGAAAAGCCCCCAAGAGCCGCACACAAGCTCCGTGCGCTCTTGCGGGCTATTTCCACAGGAGGGAGAAGGGACTGACTGGCCGCATCAGTCCCTTCTCCCACCTCCCAGGAAAGCCAGGAGAAGCCGTGCAGCCCTTTTAAAGTGCACGCGGCTTCTGCCGGTTTTGCGGGAGGTGGGGGAATTCCCCCACCTCCCAGAAAAGCCAGGAGAAGCCGCGCAGCCCCTTTAAAGAGCTCACGGCTTCTGCGGGC